ATCGCAAACATTAGCAACAATCAACTTACTACTAATAGCAAAACAAAAAAAAAAAAAAATCATGAATGACCAATATATAGTTAAATTGTACCAAATTATGTCTAGTGATATTTATTAATCAGTATTAAAAATACATCTAGAATGAAGTATAGTCTAAAACAACCATTTACTGGGACACATCAGAGTAAAATTTTAACGGTCTAAAAAATACCTCTAGAATGAAGTATAGTCTGGAAAATACCTCTAGAATGAAGCTAAAGATCAACGTCGGAAGTCAATAGTCAATGTTAGAAGACAAAAGATCAACTTTAGTATCAACGATTAATGTCGGAAATCAACCGACGAAATGTCTAATTTTTTTTTTAAACTAAAAGATTAAATCCTGATTACATCTTTGATCATTATTTAATGATTAAGATCACTTGAACTATGTGGATCCATTCGAACCAATCTATATATATATATATACACCACAAATTTTGATATCCCCATTTATATACCACCATTCACTTCCCGTGTTTTCAGCTACGATGATACACCCCAGTTTTTTTAGACACCGAAAGTGTTATGAGAAAAGAGGAGGAAAAAGAAGACCCGAAAATCATAATAAATTCAATTGCCTAATTAAAACATAACAATTAAAAATCATCAATTCATGCAATTCTCGTACAATATAAGCTGATGCGTTAACACATCCAAACATCACCATATCAAACAGAAAACACGGCAGATAATGGCTCCAGGGACGATCAGGAAAGCCATAGATGCAGTCAAGGACCAGACCAGCATCAGTCTAGCCAAGGTCACCACCGCCAGCTCATCACGCTCGGCCCTCGAGGTCGCCATCGTGAGGGCCACCCGGCACGACGAGTACCCTCCGGACGAGCGGCACATCTGCCAGATCCTGACCCTGACGTCCCACTCAACCGCCCTAGTGGGCTCGTGCGTAACCCTTGTCGCCCGGCGCCTCAACAAGACCCGCAACTGGGCCGTGGCCCTCAAGACGCTCGTGCTCGTCCACCGACTCCTCTCCAAGGGGAACCGGGCCTACGAGCGGGATATATTCTTCTCGACCTGTCGTGGGGCCCGCTTCCTCGACATGTCGGGCTTCCGGGACGCGCGCGCGAGCGCGTGGGACTGCTCGGCGTTTGTGCGGGCGTACGCGGTATACCTGGATGAGGGGATAGAGTTCAGGATGCAGGGCAGGAGGCCGGGGGGCGGGGAGGAGGCGGAGGGTGGCGGCAACAAGGCGGGAAGGCCCACGCCAGTGCATGAGATGAAAAACGAGGGTATTTTCTTGAGGGCGGACCGTCTGAGGCGTCTGCTCGAGAGGTTCTTGGCGTGCAGGCCGACGGGTACGTGTGTTTCTTCAGATTGTTTTATACTTTTGGAATATGCAGGGTCATAACCGTATAAAATCAGAATTCATAACTCAAATTGCCAAACATTTTTTAACTTCAAGGGACCAAGTAAGCAATTAATAATTGCCAAGTCCAAAGAGATTCATATTGCAATGATTTCTCAACTCGAGTTGGTTAAAGAAATGTAACTTGAAGCAGGCGCGGCCCAGCAGAAGAGGATTGTGGTGGTGGCTTTCTACCCTATGGTGAAGGAGAGCTTCCACCTGTACTACAACATAGCGGAGGTACTGGCGGTTCTGATCGAGCGGTTCATGCAGCTCGGCGTGCCGGACATGGAGCGGGCCCACACCATGTTCTGCCGTTTGTCGAAGCAGCTGGTCGAGCTCGACAACCTGTACGAGTGGTGCAAGACAGTCCGCATTGCCCGTTCGTCCGAGTGCCCCCGCATCGACAAGATCCCCCAGCAGAAGCTTGACATGATGGAAGACTTTATCCGTCAAAAATCCTCCATGCTGCGCAACCGTAAGCCCCTCACCCCTGAGCCTGAGCCCGCAGAAAAGACAATACAGCCCGTGCGCCAAGACGACATCCATGACGTCAAAGCTCTGCCTCCACCTGAGGCATCCGCAGAGGACAGCAAGGAGCTTCGTGAATCGGAAAAAACTAATGCTCCGGTGATGGGCGATCTGCTGGACCTGAGTGAAGACGGCCCCACAAGGGAAGAATCCAACGAGCTGGCGCTGGCTCTGTTCGGCACGGCAGCAAGCGAACCATGGGAGGCCTTCAGGTGCTCGTCGGGGGATTGGGAGACGGCTCTGGTGGAGTCGGCGAGTCAACTGTCGCGCCAGACTGCGTCCCTCGCACGGGGTATGGACATGCTGGTGCTCGACGGCTTGTACGCACACAGGGCAGCGTTTGTGGGGCCTGCGGCTGCCGGGAGTGCCAGCAGTGTGGTGGTCGGGATGCCGACTGGCGTGCTGGCATTGCCGGCACCGAATGGAACGACGAACGACCCTTTCGCAGCGTCACTGGCGGTGGCCCCTCCGGCGTACGTGCAGATGTCGGATATGGAGAGGAAGCAGAGGCTGTTGGTGGAGGAGCAAATGATGTGGCAGATGCAGGAGGCGAGGAGGCAGGTGGCTCCGCTGCCCAATGTAGGGCAACAATATTCGTTTCCATATTCGCACGCAGGGGGTTACACAATGTCATGAAGATCGTTTTCTTCCCTTTTTTTTTAAAAAAAAAAAAAAATTTGTTCTGTGTTTATGTAGTCGGTTTACAACGTGGATTAATTACGCGAGTACAAAATGTAAGATATTGCAAGCAAAATGTAGATGGATATTTAGTGTGATATATGTCTGCTTACCTGGAAAATTGTTAAGAACATTGAGAACGACGACAAACGGCTCTTTCTTCCAACTCCGTTTGCTTGCCTATGAAGGAGCTGTGGCATTTTTTGGATCAATTGCTGAGGAGCAGACGATCTTGGCTTACAGAAATGCACCTTTTAGTTTGTTATCGCGGTTCTTGCTCTGGCTTGAGGGATTGTTTCTTGTGCATAAGTTGAAATTACCACCGATTTATGTCCTCGATTTTCGACAAACGTCTCTAAAATATAAGTTATTGGACCAGTTAAACGGTATATTATTGGCAGAGTTCTGGCATTTGGTCCAGTTACATGGTAAAACGTTGTCGTCATGTGCATGAGAGTGTGCACTATTACATGTTATATGCACGTGAAATGGTGGAATCAATGTCTTACGAGTATGAGAAATATTACAAACATTGATGTGCTCAATAACGTGTTTTCAAACGAGATATTGATGAAACAATTTGTACGCACGTCTCTGAGGCGCTAATGGCCGGGTTTTCTGCTGGCACGGTGGAGTGTCTCGTAAGCTCCCCCTTTGAAATCATCAATCTCCGTGCTTAGGTGGCTTCTGCTTCTCGCATCTTGCAGCCTCCGGCCACTGTCGAAAAGAATACAGCCTTACGGAGTGTCTCGTAAACTAGAAAACTTTATGAGCAAGCTGCGATTGGGGCCATTCCTTTTGTAATCATAATTACTTGCACTAAGATTTGGTCTTTCCTGTTGAGCTTAGCCTATCATCGAGCCATGTTGGACGTGCAGTGCATGGACTTAGCTCCTATTTTCTGTTTTTTATGCTCTTTATGTTTAGTCCTTAAGTGCGTTTTTATATATTGTGAAAGGACGTTTGTGTCCTCGTCTTGCTCAGTCGTGAGCTAAGGGTTTTTAACCCCAGACATTTGTATCTTTCATTTTGGAGCTAAGAAATACTATCGAAAATTCCCCAAAATTCTCTCTCAGATCTTAGATATGGAAAATTGTTCTTCTCTTCATGGTATCTAGAGCGGGTCGTTTATCTCTTCAATGGCGGGCAACGAAGACAGAAACAGGCAAGGACGCGAGATCGTCACCAGAAATTTCTCTCGCGAAAATGATCCATTGTCTCTACATGGATCAGATCACCCCGGATTGATCTTAGTCACTATCCAGCTCACAGGCACGAATTATCTCCATTGGAGCCGTGCAATCAAGCTAGCACTGGGAGCGAAGTCGAAGCTTGGTTTCATATATGGCACAGTCGTTGTACCAGATTAGAACACCGACGACTACGATCAGTATCAGAAGGTTGAATACATGGTAATCTCATGGCTACTGAATACGATTTCGAAGGATATAGTCCAGGCGTTCACGTTTGTCAAAAGCTCAAAGGAACTCTGGGATGAAATAACATAACGGTATGATGAGGTTATCAAAGGTAATTGTATCGACGGAAATTTCAGCCAGAAACAATGAGAATATATGCAGGCACAATTGCTTGAACGGCTTCCCGAAGTTCCATGTAGGAGACGCCCCAATTGAGAAGGTGTTGGAGAAAATTATATTTTTACCGAGTAGCGAATCAAAATATTTGTTCACCGGGTAGATCTCTCGAGGAAGGCGGCTCGAAATCTAAAATTGGTGTCGATCGCACATAAAAGTAAAACAAATTATAAACATTCTAGTCAAGATAGGATTGGAATTAATTATGCATTATTTAGGATAAATTAGAACATTACTATAATATGCATTATTTAACCTAGCATTATTAATTAAAGTAAATATGCATTATTTATAACTATAATATGCATAGTGTATTATCTAACTATGCAAACGAAATAAATTAAATGGGCTTAATTATATAATATAAAAACTAAAAGGCTATATTGTAATTATTCAAACTATAACTAAAATACAAATTTAACCCAAGGATTTAATTTCATTAACTTTTAAATTTATTAAATTGCAAACAAGAACCCAGAAACTATCTAATTCTCAAAGTCATGTCCCGAATAAATTTTCAGCCCTAATTGGTTTTCAGCCCCAAATCGAGCCCGACTTCAGTGTCGACGCCGACGTTGGTGAGAGGACAGTTGCGTCGCAGAGCGGTCCGGAAGAGTGCAGTTCAGCGTCCCCGAGGCATCCTCCGGCAACAGTCATGGCTCCAAAATTCTTGGCCAAAAATATAGCAAAATAAATGTTGGTTGAATTATTAACGCTCATTGCTTGACTGATAAAGATTTTGTCAAGTAAATCCGATGAGCCGCTTCTCGCAGTCCGTTGAAAAATTCACGTACGTCCGAGTTTCGACTAGCACCTTGCGCTCAGCCATCCACCACCAGTAGTAGCAACAGGCCTCCGTCGAAGGCTCAACCACGTCTGCGCAGCCCTTCCTGCAAACAACAACTAGACGAAAGCAACCACGTCCAACCAGCAGCTTGTGCACACACTTTTCTGGCAGGACTGAGCCGGCGACTTTCAGGGCTCGATTCTTCTCTAGTGGCAGGCTCGTCACAGGCTGTCAGAGGTCTTTGACGGCGGCGAGGACTAAAAATTTCTGACGAAGTCCAATTCTGGCGAGCTATTGACCATTCAAAGGTCGCCGACTACCCAAGAGCGCTTGGATGAGATGGCTTGAGTCTCTTCCAGCTTAACCAGTGCTCTCGTGTTCGAGCCCTGGGAATGCAGCAGTGTTAAAACTCTTGAGGGAGAGCTTTGTCGCCCTTGTGGTCCTACCCGGCTCGATTCCGGATTAGTCGGTTTCCCTGTGGATCCGGAAACCGGAAGGTCCCTGTACAAAAAAAAAAAAAAAAAAAAAAGGTCGCCGACCGACGGTCAGCGCCGGTCAGCAGTTTTAATTATTATTTAAATAATTTTTAATATAATAATTACTATTATTATTTCAATAATTTAAATATAATAATTAATATTTTTATTATTTAATCAATTTATTAATGTGAGTCATTGATCTAGACAAATTGAATGGCTAAGAATGAGTCTCACGTACTCATTTTTAGGAGTGTCCTTATTTTATTAGAAATAGTTAAGGGGTGATTGATATGAATTCAACTAGTAAAAAACTAGTATTATTTTAACTATAGTTATGTTTGTAAAAAATTAGTATGGTTAGTTATTAGGGGATATATTAAAATAATATTTAAATTGAAATAATTAAAGTTAATTTGATGTAAAAGTAGGAAAAAATAATTGGAAGTGATGGTTAGTTAAAATTATGTGAGTGGATGAATAGTAAATTAAAGTTGATGTGATGTGTAATAATGATTGGTTGATATTATTTAATTATATTGATAATATTGAAGATAGTGGAGTTGAGTTAAAGTTGAGTTAAATTTGAATTTTGAGTGAGATATTTATTGTAGAATACATATACAATCACGCCCAATTTTTTCGAAAAAAAAAAAAAAAATCATGCTTACTAAATAAGGAAAATTTATAAATATTTTTTTTCTTTTTTTATAATTTCCTTTTGGTAATTTTTTCTCTGCCATCCACGGTGGGACCTTTTATTTTTATTTGAGGTAATGTGGTATTAATAATTGATCTAAATCTATCGATTAATTTTCTAAATATTTTCAATCAATTATTTATTTCTATCTAATATATTTTTATTTTTATTTTTATTTTTTGTGATGTGATATCAATTATTTCAGATTAAACATTTAACAAGTTAATTAATTATCCAGTTTCCACTTAATCTAAAAATTCATTTGATTTGAAAATTTATAGTAACGTATATAACGTACATGGTGATAGATTAATCATTTCAAAAATAATTGTTTTTAAATTATTTCATAGATTAATTACTCCAAAAATAATTATTTTTAAATTAATTCTTGAAACATATAGATGAAAAAAAAATAACTATTGTGTTTTTATTTAGTTTCCATATTGTTATTTTTTTTTTCATTTTTCTTATTATTATTAACGTCACTTTTTTAAAAGCTTAATAATATTGTTATTTATCACACTGATATTTTATGTATAAATAAAAAATAAATATTTTTAAAGTATTGATGATTTACAAATAAGAAATTACTCTAATTATTAGTGAACTTTAAATTTATTTATAGTAAAGTGTATATAGTATAAGATATTTATAAATATATTTTGTTATAAATTATGATAAAACAATGAGTCATCTATCGAACTGATATAGTGAATTATATATTTAAAAATATTAAAAGTATTTATAATACATAATGTGATAACAAGCCAATGGATCATCTGCCAAACATTTAAGTTATTGACTTAGAAGAAAAAAAACATTTATAATGTATAATGTTATAAATTATAACAATAAAGCAACATAACATTTATCGAACAACGTTTAAATTGACAACTTAAAAAAAGGTCATAGTTTTAATAATGTAATAATATAGTACCCATGCGATGCACGGGAACATTTATTACATACTTACTTTTGAAAAATGTATTTTATATTTCAATTTTCTGATTGTATTACAAATATCATGCAAATGAAATTTAAATGTTATTGAACACTTACTTATGTACAACATTTTTGTTTTATTTTTTGGCACGTAAAGTACTACATGGGTATTCAAATTTATCTAAAATTGCGTATTAGTAGTTATTAGTTAACAACTTAAGTTTTTCTACGAAAAATTACTTATTTATTGAACAAAATTCTAGTAGAAAAAAAGTAGAATTTTTTAGAATTTTCACACCATATATATTATTTTAAAATCTAATTCAAAATTTTTATTAAGAAAATTTGAAAAGAATCATTAGTTTTTCCTAAAAATAAAACTGATTTCCCTACCAATACACTGATTTTTTTACCAAACAAATTGATCAGAATTTTTGGTTAAAACAAACTGAAAAGAA